AGACGTTTATTGCGGGTGTGCTTGTACTGATAAGAAGAATACGTCCTGAGGGTTCTCCTTAAGATATGCGAGGATACAGAGCCGTGTCGACTAAACGATATTGCTCGTAAGGATCGATACGGGACCGGTTATTCCCTTTCGAAAGGAAAGATCTACCTACGCATTCTACCGTGTTACATAGCGAAAAATACATAGTGCAAAAACGTGGACACTCCGAATTGCTGATTCAACTTTTAACTCTAAATTGTAGAGGTTTATCTTCCTACCATCAATAAACACCCTATAATCGAGAGAATGTATTCTGTATTCGATTACAAACTAAATTATAAAAACATTTGTTTAAGAGGTTGCTGTACCGATTTAAAATTGGAACCGTACGTTCTCCGGTTGGCAGGACAGCCAGTTTCCAGGTATTCCGTGACGTTTCGATCAAAATATTCCGAAACAAAAACATCGGAGTTCTTCTGCTAGCTCCGGCTTCCACGAACAGAGGTATTTCTTTGAAACGCGACGCTTTCATCGGCTGTTTCGTCAACAAAGGGGATGCGAGAGTTGGTTAAACATGGTGCGTGCAGAGCAGCCACGTCAAACTTATCCTGGTTAAAAGTATTTTGAAAGCCATTTTTCAGACATACTCGTACCAATCGTTCCAATGCCACATTGACAGCATACATGTGTAAGACTTGAAAGAAAATATTCATTGTCACAGAAATTAGCGAAATAATCGTTCATTTATTAAATGTTTAATTAAGTAGTTTATTAACTATAATTAATTAATTATAAGTGTAGTTTTGAGCAAAAGGAAAATTGTGAACCATTACTTAATCATTTCCTAACTTGGAATATTTTAAGAATTCGTAAAAATTCTAGTTAAACCGTCTATTTTTTTTTTTTTTTTGTATTTTATTCAAAATTATTCTACCACACTTGTATGACTATTTTTTTTTTGTAAATAATATTTTTTTGGTTGATTTCTCTTTCCGTTCTTAGTAGTTCCTTTTACGTTTTGTTTATAATAAAGAGGTCAATGGGGACGCAAAATTTAATGGATCGGGTGGCGTGTTTGCCATGGCTGGTGTAGGAGAGTCGCGAAAAAAAGAGGGCTTCTTTGAGTACCCACGCTACGTCATCGTTTAGGCCAAATATTTACCCTGCACTGGTGACACGACCGCGACATAGACGACGGCGTAACTTGGCTCCTAGGCAATCCCACGTTTAACGTTCCTATGTGTTACACGCTGTGATGGCAGTGTGATAAAACTTACGCTCTTAGTCGTCCTAAAAAATATAAGTACAAAAGAATTGGGACCACACATCGTTATACAGGGTGTCCCAAAAATGTTGTAACACCTTGAAAGGGATGATTCGGGAGGTGATTTGAAACAACTTTTTCCTTAGCGAAAATGTTGTCCGAAGCTTCGTTAAGGAGATATTAAGAGAAAACCTCGACCAATCAGAGCGCGCGTAGACCGTTCAAGCGGCCGCGGTAGCGAAGGCTACGCGCTAGGCGCGGCCCCGTCAATGTCCTTCGTGCACGTCGAGTCACTTGTTTGTGTACGAGCGCGGCCGCCTAGCGCTTAGCCTTCGCTAGCACGGCCGCTCCAACGGTCTACGCGCGCTCTGATTGGTCGGGGTTTTTTGTTAATATCTGCTTAACGAAACCCCATCCGACATTTTCGCAAAGGAAAAAGTTGTTTCAAATCACCTCCCGAACCACCCCTTTCAAGGAACTCCAACATTTTTGGGACACCCTGTATAAAACTAAGATACGGATGCAAGATTTAAGAGAAGGCACCGCCACAAAAACTGGTTACAAGTAGTTATCGAGACAAAATGTTCAAACTTTCTACTTTTATATAGTTGTTGACGCTGAATTCAATGGTGCAGACAAGAAATGTTTAAACAATTATTTTCAAATAATTCTTTTTCAAAAATGCAAAAAATATGTTTTCCTTTTCGGTAATCGTGTTAACCCTTATCGGACGCTAGCTTTTCATACATGATTCTCACTAGGTCGTAGCTGATTTTGGTAAATATGAGGAAAATTTTCTATTCAAATTATGATTCCCGAATCGTAACTATAAGTCGAATTTTCATTCAATTTTAAGAACTTTTTGGTATACAAGTCGGCCATATTGGATCCGCCATTTTGATTTTTTAAATTTTGATTACAGATTCGTAATTAGCGAACTAAAAAATCCCCGGTATACCAAATTTCATTCAAATTCAAGAACTTTTTGGCGTACAAGTCAGCCATACTGGATCCGCCATTTTGATTTAAAAAATTTTGATTACAGATTCGTAATTAGCGAACTAAAAAATCCCCGGTATACTAAATTTCATTCAAATTCAAGAACTTTTTGGCGTACAAGTCAGCCATACTGGATCCGCCATTTTGATTTTTTAAATTTTGATTACAGATTCGTAATTAGCGAACTAAAAAATCCCCGGTATACCAAATTTCATTCAAATTTAAGAACTTTTTGGCATACAAGTCGGCCATACTGAATCCGCCATTTTGATTTTTTAAATTTTGATTACAGATTCGTAATTAGTGAACTAAAAAATCCCAGTATACGAAGTTTCATACAGATCAGAACGTTCCTTAGACATTTCGTCCGGGTTTTCGGGTCATTTGAACCACTGCGCGCGGCAACAAAGTACTATTGTCAAGTGAGAGAGGTGACTTACGACCGATAAGGGTTAATTTCGACCAAGTCTGTAAGGCGTTCAGCGTAAAAATTACTTCTCCCGTATTATTCGTCATGCTTGTTACCGAAGTTTGTATCACCCTTCTGTCTCCAACTGCGTGATTCAAAGAGAATCCTGTGCAGGCCGAATTCGCGGCACCCTTCGTCACGACGGAAAGAAGAGTACGACGACGGTTGAAAAGAAGAAAAAATAAAGAAGAGAAGAAATCCATCGAAGGGAACGGTGCGCGACACGGGACACGAGCACGAAACGACCACCAACGAGTCTGTGCTGCCCCCCCCCCCCCCCCGCCGCCGCCCCACCACCGCGCCCGTCCCGCCCCGCCCCGACCCTGAGTGCTCTCGTTTACCAGCGTTTTCTTTGGGCAACGTTAACGCCCTCGTGAAGTTTTCTTCTTTTTCTTTCTACTCTCTTCTCTCTTGTTGCTTGCACCCTTTTCACTCTCGTTTTCGAACGAAAGTACGCGTTTTTGGCACGCGATCCGGTTGCATGCTTACGAAAGCCTTCGCGATGGAATTCCTGTTAGGAATTTTGACGGGCCGCTAATAGGATGCCGCGAATTGTTCTCTCGTTCAATTTGCCAGTGTTCGCTCCGCAGCGAGGAAAGTAATTAATAGACTGCGGACATCCGTGTAAATAGCATATTTTTTCGGGAAACATATGAAAAAGTAGGGTCTGAATATTCACTGTTAAACCATTTTAACATTTTCGCACAGTTGGGACAGAGAGATAGGACATCCTACTAGTTTCTACATTTTTATTTTATAAATAACGTAAACGAAATTTATTGTATATGGGAAAGTGGCGTTTAAAATGTTATTTGATAATTAAGAAGAATTAGAAGATAATTAAGATTGACTTGGTTTACGTTTCACGACGTTTATTGTTTCCTTTCGTTCTAGCTGAAAAATAATTTAATTATAATACTTGCGAAAAACAGATTTCGTTTCGGATCGAAACGCATAGAGATAAATAAATTACACCACGGAGTAACTTCATAACCTCGAGGGATTTCTATTAGTAATTTCTCGATTTGTCGAACAAGAAAATAGAAATTACTTTGAATGTATTTTTAACTCTAAACATTTTACGTGGTGCGCATTTTGATTCATTTTTTTTTTTGTTCAACCGTCGTACGATTGTGTAAACAAAATAAGTTTTTCGTTGGATGAATATCAATTCACCCGAATAACTATTCAGACGAATAAACGTTGGGAACAAATCGTTAAAGGTAGTTTCTATTCGTCTATTTTTCAAACAGAATTCTACCCATCTCTGCATGAAATGCATCGTTACGCTCTATGGTTTTTGATTTCATTTGCTACGACCAAAGAGATGGAAGTACAGAGAGGTCTTTGAAAAACAAACAGTTCTCGGAAAGAGAGTTTCGCCCAGATCCTGGAACAATAACACGCGGCCAATGGCCGTAACGCGATAGCAACCTCATGTGTCAGCACTCGTACGTCCATCGAGATTGACGAATATATCACGTTCAATTTTTCAAGCATAAAAATAGTGTATCATTTTAAAAGTTAAAATATTGTATTATTTTAAAAATTATTTTTGTCTTCGTCTCTTTGTATATATTTAATGTCGACTCAACATTATCAGCGACGACTGTTAGGAGAGGAAAATATGAAGTAGTTAAACCTTTGCGCTCGAGGCCTTTTTTTTAGTATCTATCAGCAACTCGAGATGCTTTCTTAGTATTCTATTGCCACGAACGCTAAGCTATCGAGATACGAGAATCAGCTCACCTTTTTGATTTTGGTGGAAAATGTGCATCTGTCCGAGAGGGCTCTCTCCATAGGAAACCATTCTAAATTCTTGAAAAAATGATTTATAAAAATGTTTATTCGCGATACATTTTAAGAAATTAATAGACATTTATTATTTCGTATTTAACACGTTTCAACGATTATTTGTATTGCTTGTTACCAGACTGCGGATCTTTATGCATTTATACGAAATTTTAACGTGCAAGAACTTACAAAATGCAAACAATATGCAAGAACATAAGAAAGATTGAAAGTAAAGTTCGTGTTATAATATTTGTAGAATAAAATAAATTCCTGTTTAGGTTGAATTTTTGTAGGCACGTTTACAAAGATTTTATTTTGCATAAAGATCCGCAGTCTATTTATTACTATTCTTCTGGCCAAGGCGTTTTTTCTCGGAATGGCTGCGTAATTATAGTTCGAGTGTCGTTCGAACGGGGAATGATTTGTCTGAATGACAGTAACGACTCCATTGAAACGTTGTTTTCTGAATTGATCTCTTTGTTTCAGATTGCCATCTCCGTACAATAAGCAGTCGGCCGGCGGTGGGGCAGGTGGCGGTCCTGGCGGTGGAACCAGTATACCCTTACCTGCCACCGTAGCTGCCACCAGAAGGTGTCCCCCAGATAAAGTTAGACCAGCTCCCACACCGACGCATCAATCACAGCTTGGTAAGTTTAGTACATCTTTTTAACCGACTTCGAAAAGGAGGAGGTTACTCAACTCGACATGTATATATACATATATACATATATATATATATATATATACATTTTTTTTTATGTTTGTTCACCGATTACGTCGAGACGGCTTGACCAATCGGAATGAAACGTATTACATCTAGTAGAGTATGTCTTCCAGGTGGTCTCGTTATCTTGACATTTTGAGATATCTCATTTTTTACCCTGTTTTTTTTTTTTGGCAAAAAACCGAAAAATTTTGTGCTGCTTCTTACTCTGAAACGGATGGCCCAATCGCATCGAAACTTCTAGCATCTGGTAGAACATCGCTGCTACTTGATCCAATAAAAAAAAAAACATTAGACCTTGGTTTATTTTTTATTACTGTATATCACTTTCATCGCAAAAAAGCACTATTACTGTCCGGAAATCGAACCGTCCGAATCATACTGGTCCGCGGATACACCGCGTGTACAGGTTAATAGCGAATAAATCACTACAATAAACAATACGTGTTATACGAAAGTGTTTCATTTCTTTATTCAACTTTAAATAGATAGTAATTATCAACTGTCCAAACGGCGTCGATTCAGAAAACACAATTTTTGTCTTCAATGTCTGCAACGACATTGCTACGATAATCTCAAAGTTCTAGAAAATATAATTAATAGAGAAGTCGATTCCTCGTCCAAACAACCCCGGACCCCGGCTTAAACGCGTCCCAGCTCGGCGAACTTCTTATCACCCCGAGCTAGGGACCTGCTCTTTAAGACACAAAGATTCGACGAGGGTGTCAAGCGGCATAGTAGATTCGGTGCCGCGTTAAGAACACCCCATTAGCCATTAGAGCCGTGAATGGCTTTTAACAACCCTTTGCGCATTTCTGGCTGCCGCGAAGAACCTGGACCACCACCATGGAAACTGGTTTCCATGGGGGTACGCGACCCCGTTGTCCCTTTTAAATATATGGGCTCTCTTGCCCGTGCGCCGACCTTGTTCTCCCTTTTCCTCCCTTTTTCCTCCCCCTTAGCCCTCTGTTACGCGTACTCGTACATTATTACACCCTCCCTGCGTGTGCATCAGTCATTCTATTTCGCGTAGGTGTGCGCAACAGCGTTTGATAAAAGTGTGTTCCATTCGCCACGAGCGTGTGTTCGTCTGTGTGGATGCATGTACAGAAACAACATTTAAGCTCGTAGGAATTTCCGTGATTGTTAGTCTGGGAGTCAACGTGTTAACACGTTGCCAGAGAAATATTCTTGAAAATTTCTGCTAGGATTAAATATTATTCAGACTATTGGAGACTAAATAATCAAACATCCGACGTGGTATTTATTTTTGGAACTTTCATCAAAATACACGAATTTCATTTAAATTCATTTCCTTTCAAGATTAACTTTCAGAATTAATTTTTTTAGTTCTTCAGTGAAAAGCACTGTCACCCACATATGGGTGACGTGGCGATCAACGTGTTAAAGAGCGTCGGCTACCTGGCGTGAAGGGAACCTGTGTCGGAAGTGGTGTATTAAACAACAAATAATTTAGATATTACACATCCGTGTTAAATCTTGGAAGCCAAGGCAGAAAACGCTTTAAATTTGCCTGGCAGTTAATGAGTTAATGAAATACGATACCCGAAATATTACTGGATTTAAAAATTGTCCGTTTGGCTGTCAAACCAATGGAACTTTATTTCGTGTTTGAACCACCCTCTGTACATATGCGTCGCGAAACTCTGTTAGGTTAGGCGACGAGCTGATAGCGGATGCGTGCACGCGCACCGACACACCCCTATCAGCGCACAGACGACGATATTACCTACATCCACGATGGGGCGCTAGGGGGTAGGTAGTTCGCTACGAGATGGGGTGGCACCCCATAGTTTATACTTTACTCTCAACTCCCACGTTTCCAGGGCGGCCACCTCCAGATGTGCACGCCGCCGATTTACAGTGGTTCGCAACTTGCACTCGAGCTACGAACGAGACTGAGAAAGGATCAGGTAATGTCCTTTTACGAAACGCAGGACGTTACAGTCAACCTGTGTTACCTTGAATGACCTTCAAGTATTGAATTCGAACACCGTCATTGTATTCGACTTGAAATCCTTTAACAGACAGACGTAACATAATTATATGTTTATTTGCAAAAAATTCAAGGTGATCTTGAAAAAACATAAAACAAAATAGTTGACAAATAACTTATTATAATCACGTTAAAGGTTCCTTGAAAGCATGCATAAAGCTGATAAAAACATTTTTGATCGCACTGCTAATAACAGAATAATCTCCAGTGATCACGATTCGACACCCTGTAGAATGAAATATTTTTGTAAAATCTGCTACGGAACACAGGATGTTTCACTG